TATTATAATAAAGTATATAATAATGCAATGCTAATCGACATAGCCTTTATCACTGCTTAGAATACTATGAAATATGTTGCGTGCCTTATTCTGGAGAGGCAGTACTAACATTAAGTGACATGGCATCTGATGAACGGATGCCATTGGCACATGCCACTATGCTCAGTGGCACATCCGGTGACACTTCCGGTTTTCACTGACATGTGTCTGTGGAGAGTGGCATGTGCCACTGACACTTGTGACATGTGTCGATGGATTGTGTCAGGGTCACTGACATTGTCGCGGAACATGTCACCGTATGTTGCGGCAGTGACACTGCTGCTGTCAGCCAGAGTATAACGTAGACTCTGTAACACACGCACTTAACGGCAGAATGATATTTAATTGATGATACGTTTAGTTTTCTGTCAAGCGTATTAATTACATCGCGGAGTTAATTTATATAACAACTTAGGCTTCTTCATGTGTTTAATATGTCTCGTGTCCCTTTGTTTGCCTGAATATTTTGTCAAATACTTAAATAAAAAGAATTGCACATTGTTATAAAATGGTTTAATTTCTTACTGCATAATTCTATAAAATTATTTTTTTGAAATATTAAAGCCATAGATGAGATAGATTGCGCTGGCCAATGTATTGATGATGCTGCATGCATAGGTGTCAGTACCAAAATCAAAGTTTACAGTAACGGATGCGACTATAAATTGACACTGACATGGGTCACTACGAATACCACATTTACAGTCGCATCCGTTACTTTGATTTTGGTACTGACACCTATTGCGTGCATGCAGCATCATCAAACCAGCACAATCTCTCATCTATGGCTTTAATATTTAAAAAAATATATTTTATAGAATTATGCAGTAAGAAATTAAACCCTTTTTTAACAATGTGCAATTCTTTTTATTTAAGTATTAAAATAAAATAATAAGGCAAACAAAGGGACACGAGACAAATATTAAACACATGAAGAAGCCTAAGTTGTTATATAAATTAACTTCGCGATGTAATTAATAGGGCTGTGTATCACCAGCAAAGTCACGATACGATACGTATCACGATACAGAGGCCACGGTACGATACATATCACGATACGGGACTGCACTGAATTTCACCTCGGCACTCCCCACCAGGTACACTATTCTGATTTTTTTGCATTTTGTTTTTAAGCCCATAAATAATAATGTACTCGTTCTAATAAATTGCTCTATTCATAATTTTTTAGAAACCTCGCACTTTTCTGCTCAATTTTAAACGTTGTTCTTGTATTCAAATTAAGCGCATTCCACTGCTGCACACGTGCCACAATATCAATACAGGGACAGCTGTATCGATACTCGTATCGTCAAATCTCTGTGATGATGCATCGTCGTATCGATGTATCGAACACAGCACTAGTAATTAATACGCTTGACAGAAACCGAAATGTATGAATTAAATATCGTTCTGCCGTTAAGTGCGTGTGTTACACAATCTACGTTATACTCCGGCTGACAGCAGCAGTGTCACTCCCGCAACATACGGTGACATGTTCCGCAACAATGTCAGTGACACTGACACAATCCGATGCACATGTCACAAGTGTCAGTGGCACATGCCACTCTCCACTGACACATGTCAGTGAAAACCGGAAGTGTCACAGGATGTGCCACTGAGCATAGTGGCATGTGCCAATTGCTTCCGTACGTCAGATGCCATGTCACTTAATGTTAATACCGCTGTTATTCTGTGTAAGCCACATCATCTCACAGAAGGATTTATTTCAAACACATTTGTCTGACGTTATGAATAAAAACATGTTATTAAATGTGGTACTTTCACGTGCTTTCAGATGGAGCAGCATTTACTACACAGAGCCGTAGTTCACTGACAAGCTACGCAAACAGCTTTCATAATCGCAGAACGATTTCTTTGATTTCATAATCGCACGATTAAATCGTCTGCGATTATGAACGTGGTTTTGCGTACCTTGTCAGTGAACTATGGCTCTGTGTAGTAAATGCTGCTCCATCTGAAAGCACGTGATGGGGATTTACTACTGATCACAGAACGGGCTTTACTGACAAGATACGCATGACAATCGCATTCAATTAATCGTCAAGCCCTAGGTAGCATCACAGACCCCTCTTACCCCGGCCACAACCTGTTTGCACTTCTCCCCTCAGGCAGACGTTACAGATCTCTGTGCACTATAACATCTAGGCATAAAAAAAAAAAAATTTCACCCCATGCCATCTCCAGCTTAAACAGATAACACAGAAATAACCACCTGTCTTCTGTAATTCATTTCTTAATAACTAATTATTGCCTCTTTCTCTATTATTTAAATACATATACATATTTTTATTTATACAGCTATAAATAATTTATTTATACAGTAAATAATGCACCAATCTATACATAAATCCTCTGTTCCAGTATACCACATTATTATTATTTTTTCCCCTTAGTCTTACTTATTTAAATGTTCTTTCTGTTCTCAATGTCATGTATGTATGTATGTATGTATGTATGTATGTTTGTACCAAGAGCTCCTAAAAAAAATAAAAATCCTTGTGTGTTTGCTCACACTTGGCGAATAAAGCTCATTCTGATTCTGAATATAATAATAATAATAATAATAACAGAAGGTAACATTTTACAATAAGGTTCCATTAGCTGACATTAGTTAATGTATTAAAATGATAGTTGTGAGCATTTTATTGTCATTTACTCACCTTCTGCTTGTTCCAAACCTGTATGAATTTCTCAGTTTTCTCTCTGCTGAACATTAAAGAACAACCAAACAATTGACGGTAGCCATTGACTTCCATAGTTTTTTTTTTTTTTTCCACATACAATGGAAGTCAATGGCTACCGTCAACAGGTTGATTACCAACATTCTTCAAAATATATTTTTTTGTGTTCAACAGCTGAAAGAAATTCATACAGGTTTGGAACAACTTGAAGGTGAGTAAAAGATTACAGAATTTTCATTTTTGGGTGAACTACCCCTTTAACTAACATTAACTAAGAGATTTGTTACAGTATTTATTCATCTAACCTGGTTCATAAAAATACAACTGTTCATTGTTCATGTTAGCTCAGATTCATTACATAATAACAAATACAACTTTTGATTTTTATAATGTATTAGTAAATGTTACAAATAACAGTAACTAAGATTAAAGGGGTGGTTGATCAGCTTTTTTTCGAAAGCTTGATTGTGTTTATGGGGTGCAGTGTAACGTGTTCGTGCTTTGTTTTTAAAAAAAACGCATTATTTTCACATATTTTCCTTTATTCTACACCACTGTTTCCATTCTCGTCAAAACGGTCTGTTATAGGGATGTTCATTTCGGTTAACTTTCCCAACTGACAACCGTTACTTGTTATCCGAACATTAACCGTTAACTGATAAGATTAGAACAATAAATAAATAAAAATAAAAATAGAATGGATGTCTGTGACCCATTAAAAATACAAAAAAAAATTTCACGGGTTTATTTTAACGTGCAAACAGCAGCATACAGAACAATAGAGCAACAACAGAACCTGGATTCACACATCATCAAATTATCATGCACCTGCAGCGCTTCTGAGAACAGAGAAAAACAGAATAAAATAACAAATAAAAAGAATAAAATAAATAGGCCAACACTAAATATTTTTCAATTAAATAATTAACATTAAGACAGCTTAATGTTACATTTTTTTTGTTAAATATGACAAAACGAAAACACACTGAATCATTCTATGCACCTTAAAGAACCTGCAGAGTCTTTTTTTCGTCAGACATAAAAATAAATAGCAGGCCTACCTCAGTGCACAATGTATTTAGTTTTTATTAAAAAAAATTAAAAAAAATTAGCCTAAAATGTCGACGTGCTGTGCGGATAGTCTGGAGTAGAGCTCTGTGCGGAACGGTTTCGTAATGCCGCTCTCGCTGAATTTCTAACCATTACCGCCCGCTCTCCCGCAACGTGCGTGTTCTGCTCCCGCGATTTTTGTGGCCGCTCCCGCAAACATTTTTATAATTGTTTATAATTTTCGCACTATCAATATGCGAGAATTGAACTCGCTTTTGAATGGACTCACTGTTCACTTTCACTTTCGATTTCGCGTTCATGCGCACTCTGTGTAAAAGAGCACATCTAATCTTACAAGATCAGATATTTGTCAGTGAGTTCAGGATCTGTTGAGCAGCAAATCCTCCAGCATGGTCTGTCAGACATCTATCCTACTCTCGACCCGTGATCAGTCAAGCTTTGCAGGGTTGCAAAGTCCGTGTTTTTTCCACAAAATCGGGCTACTTTTAAACTGATGCCCTGGGTTGATTTTTCCCCGTGGGTAAACAAATATGTATAGCATACTTTTCTTTCACCATGCAGCAAACTTACTATGCTAACTAGGGGGTTATGCTTTAAAAATACCTTTTAAACCTTTTTAACTTATAGTATTAATCGGTCATTTTTTTTTACTTTCGGTTAACGGTTAAACGGTTAATATGAACATCCCTAGTTGTTTATGCTCTAACAGCAACATTACACACTAACTAAAGTTCAAAAAGTGAAATCATAATCAACCACCCCTTTAGTAATTTTTTAACAAGTATTTTTCATTGTTAGTTCAAGTTAACTAATATAATTGACTAATTTTAACAAATGGAATTTTATTTCAAAGTGTTACCAATTAAAATACCTATATGGAAGTGAAACCACTGAATGTCTTGTATTGAAAGGACCACATTAATGTTTGATATCTACATAAAAAGAGTCAGACAATCCTCATTTGAGACTGGTCATTACAAACTAAGCAAGTATGGAGGGATAAAGAGACATGTCAAAACAGGACAGGTGAGGAATGCATCTAGGAGGAACAATAACAGCTAATAAACAGGAAGTTATGACTGTAGCCCTGCCTTTGAGTGTTAAATCCTCCAAACATCACTAGCAGATAACATGGATAGATATATAACATGCTTTTTAAACACAAAACAGAAGTGTAGTATCTTTTACCTCCCATGGGCTCTTCCTCCTCTTCAGCTCGTCACACTTTCTCAGTTTGCAGATCTGGTGTCCGATCTTTCGGTTCAGGCAGTTGCTGCAGGTACCGCAGTTCTCCTTCCTCATGCAAGGCCCACATAAGCCGCATCTCTTCCTTTTCTTTTTAAGGGGTACCACAGGCTCCATCGGTTCCTGGCCCTCCATCTGAGACAAGGAGAACATACCGGCTTGCTCATGCTCAGACCTGATGTAGTCGGCCGCAGGAGACACCACCCTTGCACTCCTGGCCCCGAGGAAAACTTTAGGGTCCTCCTCATCCAGAGAGAATTCATATATGTCCTGGATGGGAGGGCCAGGGCCTCCCCTCAGCTTGTGCATACTGAGGGTCCCACTCTCTTACAGGACAAGAGAGCAGTAAAAGTGGCCGCTAATAGTTTAAAAATACAAGGTAAAAAATAAGGTTCTTTACAGTACAGCACAGACCAGTCCATAAAGTGTGAGTGCTGAGTTAGGGCCACAGGGAAGAACGTCAGGAAAGGGTTTTAAAGGGTGGCGCTGGGCACAAGAGGAACTCCTTACTTTGAGGAGATAGTTCTGGGCATGACGTCATTCGCCTGCAGGTGCAGGTACGTAAGGAATACAGCTGCAGGTGATGGAGAGCATCTCTCTGTTACACAAACTTGATGTCATTTCGATGCAGACAGAAACCAGCTCAAGTCATTGCTACTTAAGGCAGTTTGGGGACTGTATGGAGAGGGGGAAAAAAGTAAGGTTTAGGATATATTTCAGTTTTGGTCAAATTAACTATATTGTAAATAAATCTGAATTTATTGTATATATGCATATGCATATTGAAAGAATTATCTTTTACAATCAAATATAAGAGCCCATTACAGGTTTTTGTTAAAATTACTATAATATGATAAAGTATAATAAATCAACCTATCTATATATCTATCTATATGAATATCTATCTATCTATCTATCTATCAAAGGTAGTAAGTCAAAAGATATTGCCAATACCAGCCTGAAATCTCATGATCATTGTACAATCTCTTACAATTAAGTGCAAAGGGTGGAAAACAAACAAGACACAAAGGTGCTGAATGACGGCAGGTACTACGTGCGAAATGTGAGCAAATTCTCGGTTAGAATGGCGAATCCCCACGAGACAGCTCTCCATTGCTCTCCACAGCTCTTTGTTTGTCCGCTATGAGTCTCAATGCAGGACTTACGCTCGACGCTCTTTGTTCAGCGCTTGGGGGCCGTCAATAAACTCAAATGTTTTAATGGTAACTACGGGACACGCAGCGCACGAATTGGGTATTGTGAAGCTAAGATACGTGAGTCGTCGTTAACGAAATGTTGTGATTCGCAATGGCGCATTATTTATTCTATAAAGTATCTGTGGAGATAATAGCGCTTTAATGAGGAATTCCCTGGCTCGTTTCATGCTTCGATAATTATTAATTCTAACATACTGCAGAGTAATTAAAGCAGCATCGCTCACAAAAAAAAAAAAAACTGGAAGTCATCCACTCTTCTTTCTCTACGGCATGGCGAGTACAACTTTTAATATTAAGATATACGTTTTACAGTCTAGACTACAGGACTTATTTGGGGAATGAGCAAAATAACCTTATTGGTGTTTTTCAGTCATAGTTCCAGGCACTAGGCTATATAAAGAGTAAGCTGATTGTTTTATTTAATGACAACTGAACAAGATGTGACAATGCTTGCGTAAGCAGAATGTAAGCGCTTGAGTCAGCAAAATAGTTCGGTGTTCTTTCGCGCTCTTAAACTTTTATATAATATTTCCATGTTCATCTGCTAACATAATTTACATATATAGCCTACAACGTGTCCCTAAACCGTGTAACACTCTGTAAATTTATAGAAAGCAGAAGAAAACAGCAAATAAAACGGGAAACGAATGTGGAACACACACAGAAACAATAATTCTAAAAACATAAGAGACAATATATGCGCGCGTATTGTTCACAACTATTGTCCCATCTTGTGCAGTCTTTTGTGAGTCCAGCAGAAGTACACTGGAAATTGTTACAGTCCTCCTCGACCAAGTCAGTCAAGTTTTTATATTGTAGATTTAAGTTTGACTGGAGATATCAAATCAAAGAATCAAAGAACAGAACCTGCTGATTTAGATAAAACTAGTTAGACGTGAAATTATACTTACATGTGGAATTGTTTTTGAATGTTACAGGAGGATGGTGGTAACATGGTAATTTCACCCCTGTAGCTAATTTGTAAATGGCTAACGGTGTTATAACTCACCCCGCGATTTTTTGAATGACAAGTAAATGACAGTCATTCTGAGTAGCAAAGAGCAAGTAAATCAGTCTGAACCCTATTAAAAGGGTCAAACGAAACGTATTAATACCCTTCCGTTGACTACTAAGGAATCCTGCATTATCGTTAAACGGCCCACATAAAAATCAGTCCAGTCAAGTGTGTCGCACGCGCTCTGTGAGACTTGAGCACGTGGCTCTTCACTCAGCCTGGCGCTTTAACTGGCGGCAAAAAGGGAGAGCTGAGGAAAAGGTGTAAAAAAACAAAACAAAAAAAACCTGCGATGATCGCTCACACTACGGCACATACACGCCTGTATTAGCTTTTCCGATTTATGTTGACAAACAAGTGACAGTTTTCCTTGGAAGGGTGAGAGAAACGACACATCAGCAAGCCCCCCCAATAAAGAAAACAACACCCCGGGGCGCGTGTTACAGCGCTGGAGGGGCAATTTCTTCCAAAGTAAAAAAAAAATATACAAGTTCTACAGAAATAGAATGTTGCATTTGTAAAGCATTCGCTACATTATAACAACGACAGTTCCAATGTTTTCTGGTGTAGTTACATTAATAGTTCTCATTCTTATCATCACATAATACAGTCGAAGTTATCAGTAATCGATGTGTATTGCGCTAATCACCTCATTGGGGACTTACACAACTTACACAGGGGAATACCCAACACTCATTCTTGTAAAACTCAAAGTTTTTACCTTTTTTCAAACAGTAAAAGTTTCCAGATGTTAAGAAATGAAATGCAAGGACTTACCAAGCGATGGAAACCTTCTTTGTGCGTCTTGTCAAATCCCATTTAGATTAAAATGATGGTTTACTTAAAAACAGTACATGCATATACAGTTCCACACGACTAGAATGACTAAAACGTCATTATGTTTTATCTTAAAATGCAGTGCAAATGAGAGAAACATGACAAGTTAATTTGCTGAACGGGTTAAAACCTGCTGAACAGTCAAGGCATGACATGGCGAATTACGCGAGATGAAAAAAAGTTGCTATTTCATTATGGGACAGACCCTTTAACTTTCCTCTATGTCTCGTCTATGTACTTTATAGAAGTTTTAGAGTTAAAAGAGATGAGGAGGAGGAAGGCGAGGCGGCGAGAGACTGAAGTAAGTTGCGGAATGGAGTTCAGTGTCATGGACCGAGGGGGTTAAAATTACGTCATCACAGTGACAAATGTCATTTGAGCAGAACTTAAGGGAAGCAAAACGTTAAATGTTTTCTTCAAGTCTCGATAGTATATCACGTTGCCAAACCATCTTTTCCACATGGTGACAAGTTAATCTCTAGATATTAACATAATATGTGTATTATTTAATCAGTGTTTCTAAAGTTCACCTGGTTTAAGAGAAGCATGCTGCCAAACATGAGGCATTTTGTATATATATATATATATATATAATTTTTTATTTCATAGCACTGTAAACGGTTGTATTTATCTGAAAAACAGTATGGAGGAAAGAAAACATCAATAGAAGCTAAAAACAAAATTCACATATTTCCTACTCGGTGTATATTTCAATCAGTATCCATAAGCAAGCCAATCATATGCAAATCGTCATTATCAAATCTCTAAAACTGCACTTTATATGACTGGATGGATGCAAGTACTGTGTATCAAGTCCATCGTTTTTAATGCATGTTGCATTCAGGGTAAAACATTAGACAATGAACAATCAAGCATCACCTATAGCATTATTATAGATTGTTATGGTCAGTTATACTTTAAATAGTTTGATTATTATCAGATAGGCAATAAATAGTATAAGAAACACATTAAAACAAAAGATGTATACTGTCAAAATACTACAGTAAACAAACAAAAGAAAAAGTTCAGTGTTTAACCATTTAAAAATGGTTTAATTTGCACACAATCATTGTGGACAAAGTCAGTCTGTAATGGTAATAATAGATTATTGTTCTGCAATGCAGAAATGAGTCACCTATCGCCTCACTTCTCAGAGGAGGAGAGCACAGATCAATACATAATAGTGCAGCTCCGTCTCATGAAGGAATGAGACTCAGAAATGTGAAGATGGAAATACAGTGTAAAGGAGAGAGTTATAAAAACTGACAATAAAAAATAAACTAAAAAAGGGTATGAAGAGTAGATGGAGGTTTTAGAGCAACAGTCATCCAGAGAAGCTGCAAATAAAATGGACGGAAAGTTTTTAAATAAGAAAATGAGGCTCTGAAATGTAGTTACTGTCCCTTTAACTTGGATGGACCTGTAAAAGCACATTTTGATAGTGTTAATAACAGTATCGCCTCTCTGGACGTCACATGCTCCCATTAATGGCCGACAGTCTTATACATTTTCCTGAATTGATCCTGAAATGCGTTCCAAAGGACATGTATTTACTCAAACTTGTTCCCTCTCTTTGTCCCCATTTTGCCGTAGACCAATTGAATAAATTATGGAATGGAAGAAGAATGAGGTCATCTAGGTTCGGACTTGAAATTTGCCAGCCTTGGTCATGTATTTGATGCCTTTGAAAGGTTTGTACTTCTCGCCATACATGTCCAACCTATTTACTTTCAGACCTGTTGGGTGAAAAAGCGGAAAGCAAACATGTCAGTTGCAAAACAGGTATGTATTTGGCACGATGGAGTCTTTGGGGAAAGGTTGTGACTGCTAAAAGCACTAAATCAATGACCACCAGTCAACGTGAGCTTGAAATGCTCTGTCCTACAATGCCATGTTACATCAGCAGCTGCTCAAACCATCTGTTTCTGAATCAAAACAGCTCCATCTCCAGGCCACATAATAAAATTGTCATGAATGTTCTCAATTGCTCATTTATATGCAGAATTGTGCTTTATTACATTAAAGATTAAAGAAACAATTTACTGACTGAAGGTCAACTGTGAAAATTTCTCTGATCACCTTTATTTTAACAGAAGAAAATCCTCAAGGTAACTGAAACAAATGTGATATTTTAATAGACTAATTATATATTTGAATGCAATACATTTACATCTTATTAAACAATCTTAGTAATGTCCTATGTATAAATAAGTCCTATGTAAAATCTGAAGCAAAATCAGTTAAGAAACCACTAATCTACAGTACCTGAAATGGCCAGCTGTTGAATCTTGAACTGGATGTT